TTGGTTTTTCGAGACAGGGCTTCTCTGTGGCTTTGGAGGCTGTCCCGGAACTAGCTCTTGTAGTCCAGGCTGGTCTCGAACTCACATAGATCCGCCTGCCTCTGCCTCCCGAGTGCTGGGATTAAAGGTGTGTGCTACCATCGCCCGGTGTTTTTACGACTCTTAATGTTGAGTATGAGAAGACTGTAGATGGTTTGTACATCAGGACAAGTAGCAAAGGTGTAAGGCCCATAAAGGTAACCACAGATCAAGCCTGTAAACCTCTCACCCTTCACCCTATTTGACTACCAGTGCTAGTTAAACTCCAGTTTAGGACATTACTTTTGTTATCTTTTCTTAACTCTGGTTAAGAGTTCTGCTCATACCTGTTAGTCTGGGTGCACCCATGTACCGTGAACTGTGTAGCAAAGGTCACTGTCACACTTTCATGTTTCATATATATCACACATCTCTGCTCCTGTTCAAGTGGATTTGTTTTTTTTCAACAGCTTATAACAAGAATATATCATCAAGGTTGAAGAAAAATGGTTTAGCATGTAAAAATGCTTGCTATGCAAGCCAGAGGACCTGGGTTTTATCCCTGGTACCCACAGTGGAAGGAAGAAAACTGACTCCTGAAAGTTGACCTCTGACCTCCACACATGGTGGCAGGCACAGCCACATACATCATACACATACAGTAGTAATAAAATGAAACCTATCATCAGTATATCAGAAATAATAGACTCTAAAGAGGGCAGGAGACCACAATAGGTGAAATACTGCAAACAGGCTTGTTTTCCCAATAAAACAAAAAACAAAAACCACAGTGTTCTTCTTATAGAGCAAAACCCTTCAAAGAGTTGCCTGCATATAATCTCAAATTTCTCTTTCCTGTTTTTCTAGAAGCCCACTACAACCAAGCCTTGGCCCTAGCACACTGGGAAACTGTTGTCTGTGTGCTTAACTCAGTGGATACCTCTCAGCATTCAGGACATCAGAAGTATCTACCTGGATGAAGGTTTTGCCATGTCTGTCATTTGCATATAATTTAACTTGCACTTTTGTTCAATGACTCCCTACCTACCAGCTGTTCCTTCTCAATCCCTTAGTTTTTTCTCACATTTAAAGATTGGAACTATCTCTGGTCCTTTTCTTTTTCTTTTTTTAAGACAGGGTGTCACAGTTCTGTGACAGTTGTGTCACAGCTCTGCTTTTCCTGGAACTTACTCTGTAGACCTTGCTGGCCTTGTACTCACAGAGATCCACCTGCCTCTGCCTCCGAAGTGCTGGGTTAAAGGTGTGCGCTGTCACCACCACCCTGCTCTGTCTTTTTTTTTCTATATTGCCTTGGTCTCAACCTTTGGCCTTTTATGTCCAAAACTTGACTATGTATTTTCTACCTTTAGGCTAATTATCCCAAGTCCAGATTTATGCATCATTCTAGTAGACAACTCACTTGAAATTGTACTTAAATTTAGTCTAAAATTGAGCATCCTACTTCACTTCAACCATCCTTGACAGAAAATTAGGAGTCATTCTGAACTCATTTCCATTCTCCATTCCTCAATCTAATCGGGCACTAAACCGAGGAATCATGGACACATCATCTAACATTTGTTAAGTCTATTTCTTCAGCTTTCAACTGGAACAAAAGAGCTAGTCCACAAAATTACTAAAAGGAACAAAAGGATACAGAGAAAGGTTCCACTCCTCTGTGCATTATACTAGTGAGTTTATGATCAGCCACCTCCTTGGGAACTTTCTGGTACTCCTTGATGTTATAAAGATAGCAAGCACCTGCTGTTCCTTCTTGCATTATACTTCTCATACCTCAAGACCCAATGGAAGTGATGTTTTTCTTAAAGCAGGCAACTTTCTATGTCAGCACTGTCTCTTGTTCATACCTAATTACCAAACTTAACGTCTTCCTATTAATGAGTTCTTTGAGCATACTGTCTGAACCCTACTTGCCTTGCTATTGCCATTATATAGAACAGCTGAGTACTCAACATGTCGAAGTGCATGAAATAAATCAAAAACAATTCACAGAATCAATTATGAAAGACTTACAACAGCATTTTCCTTTGGTTTAAATGACAGAAAGTGGCATTTGAAAGAGAAGGCAAACAGATGGCAGAGAACTGGTGAATGAGGAAAAGACAGCTAATTGCTGTATATTCAATAACTCATTAATTGAAACTATATTTCTCCATCTATCTTAACACTAATATTTGTTTAATTAATGATGACAACATATATAAAACCATAGTTACCTATTTTTTCTTCCAGTTCTTTTACCAATGAGAGTTGATCATTTTTTACAGAAGGCGATTTCTCTAAGGAATCCTAGATTTTACAGGGAAAAACAAACAAACAAACAAACAAAACCCTAAACCAGAATTCATTTAATTCCCCACAATAAACTGTCATCATTTTAGTTACGAGAAAATTTTTACCAGGAGAAACCATATAAATAGCCACTTGGCTATTTTTATTCTCTATTGATAGAGCAAGTAATACTAACTTTATTATATATATGGCCTTTACTAAAATAGTATCAAAGTCAAGATGCATAATCTGACACACACCAAATACATATGTAATAAAGAAATGACTATGTGGCCATTGTTTATCATAACTTCAAAGCACAATTTCTAAGAAAACTTTAAATGTTTAGCTACTATGTAATACCCCTAAAGCTCATTTTCTTGATCAACACAATTCTTTAAGAAGAAAAACTGTGTCCTGAGTGCAATTCTGATTTTTCCTAGATTGGTTTACTGATGACTGGACACATTAGACTGAGATATACCACATCAAAGTGCTTAATTCATTTGCTGGAAATCTGTCACTTGAGCTTAAATGCTAAAATTTTACTCCTGACTTCAGACTGTAAAAATGTTAGTGCATATCAACCTGTAACCAGAGCTAAGGATTTATTCAAATCAATGAAACTCAAAATAGTGGTACCTTTAGCTGTATCAATTCTGCTCTCAGGTCTTGTAGTTCAGATTCTCTTTGTTCAAGCAATAGCTTCAGGTTTTCATGTTCTATTACAAGAAGCTTTTCATTACGGACTTCATTTTGGCTGTGTAATGTCTGAAATAATTCTTCAACTTGAGCTAAGAGAGTCTGATTTTCAAGGCTTGTTTTTTCATTAGCATTCTTCATTTCTAGAAGATCAAGTTGCAAGGTCTCTTTTGATGACGTGGTTTCTTCTAATTCTTTCCTTAAGAGAATTTTCTCCTGCTCAGAGTCTTTAAGTAAAGCTGTAAGCTCTTCATGTTGAGCTACACTTTCTTCTTGAAGGCACTTAATCTTTCTTTCTAATTCTAATACTCGCTCGTCGTATTCAAAGACCAAGTTATGTTTTTCTTCCTTTATTTTTGCTAAGGATTCACCTACAGCTTGAAGAACTTTTACAACATCTTCCTCTTCGTTTTCTTCTAAAATGTTTGGCCCCATTTGTTTAAGATAGCCATATAACTGAGTTTTGACAAATGACTTCTGAACTTGCTCATTTTCAAACACTTTATTTAAGTTATCTCGCTCTTCAACCATTAACTGGAGTTTTTCTTCTAATTCAGTCACATGTTCTTTATGGGCAAAATCTTTTTGAGATTGAAGAGTTTCCAAATCCCTACTCAACTGGACCTTTTCAGTCAGTAGTTTATCGTTCTCCTCATAAAGAGACTGGATTTTAGATGACAATGCTTCTTGGTCTTCAGTCATAGTTTTTATTTGAACCATAATGCTTTGGTCATTTTGACTCCTTTCTCTTAATATTTCATCTAGTTTCCCTGTTAATTCATCTACTCTTTGTCTCAGCTCACTGTTGTGCTGGGTGGTTTGCTCTGCCGCTTCCCTGAGTTCAATGGTCAATCTCTGTTCCCTTTCCCATTTCTGATGGAGATTATCTATCTCGGCATGGCAAGTTTTCATCTTACTTACAAATTCATCTTTTTCTTCAGCAAGAGAACTTATCTTTGCTTCTAATTCTTGTAACACAGTATCTTTCTGACCAAGACTGGCTAAGTACATGCTATTGTCTGCCTTAAGGCTCTTTATGGTACTTTCAAGTTCAGGTACTAACTCTTGATGAGATAGTAACTTTTTATTTTCTCGTTGGAGGCAATTCACAGTTTCAAGAAGAGCATCTTTTTCATTAAAAGCAGTTCTCAGCTTCTGCTGAAGCTCATGAACATCAGACGCTTGCTGTTGCTTCATTGTTTCAAACTCTTGACTTATTTTTCCTGCAGATTCTCCTAGTTCTGTTTGTAAAATTTCCATCATCTCTCGTAAACTCTCATAATTTAGGATTGCTTCTTGCTTTTCATGATGTAGATTTTCACACTGTTCCTTAAGACCCTGTATTTCAAACATTAATGCTAATTTTTCTTTTTCTGAACCTGACATGAACGTCTCACTAAGCTCAGAGATTTCTTTCTGATGGACTTCCCGAAGATGCTGTATTTCTTTGTTATGCTGTTCCACAGCACAGCAAAGCTGTCTATTTAAATCCTCTTGTTCATATTTTAATTTTTCTACTATATAGCCCTGTTCTTCTTTAGCCAGCAGCAGTTCATTAATTTTAAACTCCAAGTCTTCTCGTTCATGGAAAAACTCATCTTTTATATGTTGGGCCTCCATTTCAAGTTTTAACTTTAGATTATTCATGTAAGTCACCTCATCTTTTAAGATACTATGTTGAGATTCCAGTTCTTTTAAAGAGTCTTCCAACTGTCTGACTTTATCATTTACTGTTTGTTCTGCAAAAGTATCTTCTTGTAAGGGCAAAGAGTGATGTTGGTTCTCCTGTTTTGAATCTGAGGTGCCTTCATTTAAGTTTTCCAATTCACAATGGTATTTCTCCTGATTGTTCTCACTTCCCTCACACTGTTGCACTCTGTTGTCTTTTAGCTTATTTATTTCTGCTTCATGTTCTTTAGCCAATATTTCCATTTGAGACATCAGCTCATTGACTTCTTCTTTGTGTGCAGCTCTCAGCTGCAAAATCTCTTCTTGAAAAGTATCAATATCTTTTTGGTATTGCCGAGTGTTCTCCTCAATGACTTTTTGGAGATGAATAATCTCTTGCTTTTTTTCATCATTGGTAGCTTCTAACTGCTTTTGTAGACATAAAACTTGTTCCTCAAATCTTGCAGTAATGTTATGAATCTCTTCTTGTAGTTGTTTAACTCTATCTTCGGAGTCACTTTGAGATTTAAGCTGTTCTAAAAGCTCCAATTGTTTATTTGCAGCTTCTTCCAGTTCTTGTTGTAAGCTGGCTTTTTCTTTACTGTGCTCTGACTGCACTGCCATCAATTCATTTTTCAAGCTTTCAATTTCATTTACATAGTTTCTCTGTGACTGTTCAAACTCTTTGTGTGTATCCTCCAGTTTTGTTACAGAATCCTATTATAAAAATAACCACAAATAAGTCAAAGATGAAAGAAATCACTATCTGCATGAAAGGGTTAACCAGATGGGAAAAGAGATGAACAGAATATAGCTAGAGAAATATGATACTGAGATTTCAAGAATTTTGTTTAGGGTTTGCCTTAGTTAAGTAGAACTATAATCATCAATATAAAATCTATACTTAAAGGAATACAACTAGGAAACCTCTGTACTTTAAAGAAAATAAATGATGTAACTTAAAAGGCTTTAATTTATAGCTCCTAACCAGATTAATAAGAGAAATTTTAGAGAACATAAGCTTAAATTTTACAGATAAGAAAGTAAAAATGTGCTACTAAATATCCTAAAACTGAACAGATATAATATTTAGAGTTGTGAAAAACTCAAAACCTTAAGACTTTTATTAAAGAATGACATGGCTATAAGAAAGATTAAATGGTGCAAAAAGTAAAATGCTAGTCTATTTCTGCCTAACTACATGCTTTTAGTGTTGTTAGCCTAACTGGGAATTGAGTCCAGGGCCTCCACACACAGGCAAACACTTTACTACTGGGCTATATCCCTACTCCTCTTTTAACTTTTTGACACAGGGTCTTACAAAGTTGCTGTAAACTGGCCCTGATTTTGCACCGTAGGCCAGACTGGCCCTGAACTTGTGAACCTCACACCTTTAGCCTCCTGAGTAGCTGGAATTATGGGCCTGTGGTTCCAGAGCTGACTCTTTTGTGATAAAGGGGTAAGATTGGATAGACATCCTTTAAAAACACTCAATTATTTATCGTGTGCTAATGTTGTAGGTGTGCATGTACCATGGCATGTGTGGTTATAGACAACTTATAGGAGTCAGTTTTCTCTTTTAATCCTGTAGGTTCTGGGGGCAGGTCACCAAGCTTGGAGACAAGCACCTCTATCTGTTGAGCCAACTTGCTGGCTCCTTTTATTACAGAAAGTGCCTTGCTAAGTATCTCTGGCTGCCCTTGACCTTGACATCTTCCTGTCTAAACCAAGTGCTGGTATATGTCCCCATGCTTGGCTAGATTAGATTCTTAAGATACCATTCAGCCATAAAATTCATGAATATTCAGTGTAACTTAACAAAAAACAAGGACAAACAAATAAAAACCCACATTAAATGCCTTACCTCAACCTCTTGCTTCATTTTAATATTTTCCTTTTTCAGACACAGACACTGTTGTTCAGTCTCTGCTTTGTCCAGAAGAAGAGTGTCCAGGCGCTCAGTAAGTACCTGTTTTGGAAATGACATGATTTGTTTGCATGAGGCAAAAAACAATAGTGTTTTGTTCTTTGTTCTCCCAGACCCAATCTCCCAATCTTATCCCCAGCTCTGCAGCAGAACACCTATGGCAGCCTTTCTCGCACCCCTGCTTCCATCTCCTGTGGATTCCACAGATCTTTCCCTTCCAACCTCACTCCCACAATTGTTGCCTTTTGCCTAGCCCCCAACTCCAGCAGGCACCCACTACTAACCCACAGGCCACACACCCCCAAAACCAGGTAGGGGCCTGCAGATTTTCTATTCTAGCTCTGTCCCCTCAGATTCAATCCCCCAAATGTTATCCCCAGCTCTGCAACAGAACACATGTGGTGGCTTTCCCTGCCCCCTCTCACCCCTTGTGGATCCTACAGGTATTCACCTTCTAACCATCCTTCACTCAACTTACTGCTGTGTCCAAGACCCCAACCCCAACAGCCATCCCCTGCTAACCCAAGGGCAATTAAGAAGGCTGAAGGCTGACCTACACCTATCCTACTGCTTCTGAGACCCTTCCTCCCCCACTCTCCAGCAGGAAACCCATGGAAGTCTCCCAAAGATATTCTCCTCCAACCTTCTTTTTCCCAACTCATCCCAGTATCCCAGCCTCCAACACCAGCAGGCCTTCCCTGTGAACACACCAGCAGAGCAGGCCAGGAAAATAGCCATCACACTCTGAAATCCAGAGAGGAAACAGAAACCAAGGAGCAAAACACCCAGACAACAAAGACAAAGCCAGAAATCATCCCAAACTCATATGCCTAGATGCCAGTATAAAAGCACAATCAGTAACAGTTGGGGCAATGTATCTCTACTAGAGCCCAGCTAACCTAACACAGCAGGCCCCAAACAGTGCAAAATAGCTAAAGCATAAGAAAAGACCTTAAAACAGCCTTTATGAATATGATAGGGGTCCTTAAAGAGTAAATAAATAAATCTCTTAAAGAATCAAGGAAAATACAAATAAACAGTGGAGGAAATGAATAAAAGATTTAAGACCGGAAAGTGGAAATAGAATTAATAAAGAAAAACAAACTGACAGTATTCTGGAAACAAAAAACCTAGGAATTTGAACATGAATTGCAGAGGCAAACTTCACCAACAGAATTCAAGAGATGGAAGACAGACTCTGAGGTGCTGAAGACATGACAGAATATTGGTCAAAGAAAATGTTAGATCTAAAAAACTTTTTTTTTAAAAAAGATTTTATTTATTTATTATGTATACAACATTCTGCTCCCATATACATCTGCATACCAGAAGAGGGCACCAGATCTTATAATGGATGGTTGTGAGCCACCATGTGGTTGCTGGGAATTGAACTCAGGACCTCTGAAAGAGCAGTTGGTACTCTTAATCGCTGAGCCATCTCTCCAGCCCCTAGATCTAAAAAACTCTTTTTTTTTTCCATTCATTTATTTAGCTCATAAATAAAGTCATGCACAATTACGATACATAATACAGTATGGTCACAATGGCATGGCTAAATTAAATCAATTAACATGTTATATCACACATATTCATCATTTTTGTTTTGAGAACACTTAAAGTATACTATCTCACAACTTTTAAAATATAGCATATTGTTATCAACCATATTTATCATGCTCTCAGTAGACCTCAAGACATCACAGAATCCATGCCTCTTGTCCAACTGCAGTTTTATATCCTTAAACCAATCATTTCTAAAAAACTCAACACACAAAATCTAGGAAATCTGTGACACCATGAAATGACAAAACCTAAGAATAGGTATAGAGGAAGGAAAAGAAACCCAGCTCAAAGGACCATAAAATGCCACACCAAATCCAGTAGATTCTGTGTGACAAGTTCCAAAGACTAAAGAGATAACTTCAAAAGAAGAAGGTCTCCTTGAAATGGTTGTGGGACTCTCGGCCAGAGAAAAATATTGTGTCATAGTTTTCCTGGCAATCGCTATTCCTCTATTCTTTTCTCATATTAATTTCTTTTCTCATATTAATGAAATGATCCTGAAAGCCGATGCTGACATTTTAAACAAAAGATATAAATGAAAAACCGTCCCCTGAGATGAGGTCACTAACCATGACCTCATCTCCAGGAAAACCAGCACTTTTCAAATCATTCACATCATTCACATAAGTACAATTAGTATTGACGAAAACTTTCCCAACAATAAAATTTCATAGGGCTGTATATGTGTAATTGAGAATAGTTTCAAATGTTTGGGAAAGAAAGTTTTTTGATAAGAAAAATTCAAAATAGCTCAATATTTCAAAAATTCACAAAAGCTAGGCAACAAATGTTAAACAATAACTGACCATAAAAAATATATTTAACCTGATCTTAGAAAATAGGCTGTTAGCTGTGGTTAGCCTCGAATGATTTTCTGATTTATTGTTAGCTTTGGATAAGTTGTATGCTACTGTGCCTAGTAACAATGATATCATTTGTTCTATCTGGGTTTGCTTCAGTGAGAAGCTATGCTTTATCCTGATAAAAAGCCTTGCTGGAAAGCTGCAAAATACACTGATTCAAACTACCTCTGTGTTTGTTTCTGTTTGTCACTGCAGAATCCTTACCCAACTAGTCTTCGAGAACCCTCATCCCAGGGATCCCTATACCTGGCTGGGGTGGGTTGTGGCAAGAAAACACTTTCAACAAAATCATAGAAAATTTTCCTAACCTAAAGGAGATGCCTATCAAGGTACAAGAAGCATACAAGCCGGGCGTTGGTGGCGCACACTTTTAATCCCAGCACTCGGGAGGCAGAGACAGGTGGATCTCTGTGAGTTTGAGGCCAACCTGGTCTACCAGCGAGTTCCAGGACAGACTCCAAAACAATACAGAGAAACCCTGTCTCAAAAAACAAAACAAAACAAAATAAAACACCAGATAGATTGGACCAGAAAATTGGACCTTGACACATAATAATCAAAACACTAAATATACAAAACAAAAAAAGCATTAAAAGCCACAAGAAAAAAACACCAAGTAAAATACAGAGGCAGACCTATTAGAATTACACTTGACTTATCAATGGAGACTCTAAAGTCAGAAGGGCCTGGGCAGATGTGCTGCAGACTCTAAGAGACCACATATGCCAGCCCAGACTACCATACCCAGCAACACTTGAAATCAACATAGATGGCGAAAATAAGATATTCCATGATAAAGTCAAATTTAAACAATATTTACCTACAAATCCAGTCCTACAGAAGGTGCTAGAAGTAAAACTCCAACTTAAGACCATGAAAAAATAGGAAATAAATAATCTCACACCAGAAAAATCAAAAGAAGAGAAGTGCATATGCATGCGTGTGCATACACACACACACACACACACACACACACACACACCCATCAACAATAACAAGAAAATAACAGGAATCAACAATCACTGATCTCAGTATCAATGGTTTCAATTTCCTCATAAAGACACAGACTAATAGAAAGGATGTGAACACAGGATCCATTCTTCTGCTGCATCCAAGAAACAGGCATCAACACAAAGGATAGACATTACCTCAGGTAAAGAGTTGGAAAAAGATTCCAAGCAAATGGACCTAAGAAGCAAGCTGTAGCCACTTTAATAACCAACAAAATAGACTTCAAACCAAAACTAATCAAAAGAGATAGGGAAGGGGACTATATACTCATCAAACAAAAATTTACTTTTGCCTAGTATGGTGGTGTATATCTTTAATCCCAGCACTCAAGAGGCAGAAGGCAGAACCCTGTCTTTTTTTTCCCTTTTTAACTTTCTATGCAATTCTTCTTAGGTTCCTACAGAGACATGTCTTCTATCAAAATGAGCTGTTAATCCAGTAAGGAAGTTTGACTAAGTAACCTAGCAAACAGGTGTGTAGCATAAGGAAGCAGTGCTGGCATTCGTGGGATCACTGTCAAAGTCCAGTCTCAGAGCTGCAACAGATCTAGAGGACAGCCAGAGCAATTCCTTGCAGGAGACAGAAGGCTTCGTGAAGCAGGAGTGCTATGCAAATGGAAAGAGACACACTGAAGCTATATCCTGAAGCAGCAACAGGTCTACCGTGTGTGTTATGGAGGATAAAGGAAACAATAAACAACTCTAAAGTTAAATGGTGCAAAATCTGGTGATGGCACTAACCCACCAAGTGATGGTGATCAGACAGCATGAATTGAGATTACAAGTGAAATGTTTTAAGATACCCGCCCACACACCCACCCACCACTGACAGCTAGAAGTGCAGCTATTCAATCTGGGTCAGTAGTTGTTATTCAGCGGTATAGATCTATTCGTACATCATCACTGAAGTGCTACACATGGCCAAGTTTTCCGTGGCGGTCAGAGCAGGAAAGGTCTGGAAGTAATAACCATAAGGAAGGAGGGCTATTGCCGTTTGTCTGAACTGAGTCAACAGCCCTCTCTACCATTCTCACTGTGAGTTAAAGAACTGAAAAACTAAACCACGGCCAACAAGGGAGTGACTGAACAAACAGCAAGATGGTCTCTGGCAGGCAGACAGTCCTTGAGGAACTTGTTATCAATTACTAGACGTTTTCTGTAAGTAAACCAAAAAACTGGTTCATTACCTTAATAATATCATCAGTTCCTCCATCAACAGGTTTTGATTTGAGTTCTTCAATTTCTTTGTCTAATTCTAAATAAAAAAAAAAATTCTAGTTCACAAATTAAGAACCGATAAGTACATTCTAAGAAGAATCCCAAGGCTATAAATTAGAATGTATTTAAGAAGTCAACACTTGGCAGGATTATTAATGTTATCCATATAATAGTATGCCTTTCATTTTTTTTTTTTTTTTGCTCTTTTAATATGAAAATTTTCATTTGGAAGAGTGTGGTCTAAGCATCCACCACCCTGCTTTAGTGCTCATGAACAATTTTGTTTCATCTGAAACTGTATTCACTTCTTCCCTTCCTATCTTTTCCTTTCTTTTTTTTTTTTTTAAAGATTTATTTATTTATTTATTATGTGTACAGTGTTCTGCCTGTGTGTATGCCTGCAGGCCAGAAGAGGGCACAAAATCTCATTACAGATGGTTGTGAGCCATCATATGGTTTCTGGGACTTGAACTCCAGACCTTTGGAAGGGCAGGCAGTGCTCTTAACCGCTGAGCCATCTCTTCAGCCCTATTCCTATCTTTTTTTTTTTTATTCATCCACATATATGTGGAGGTCTTGCTAAGTTGCCCAGGCTGGCCTTTAAATCCTGGACTCAACTGACGCTTCTGCCTTAGCCTCTAGAGTAACAGGGACTAGGTGTGTATGCCACTGTGGCCAACTACCCTGATAATTTCCTAGCATGTCCTAGACATTCTATTATTCTTGTTGTAAATATTTTCTATATAACCTTAAAGCAAGAATTAAACATATCGAACACGTATACTGATCTAAATATTTCATCAATACATGTCTAGTTCTGGAGCTTAGGTCATCTTCTCAAATAAGTTACTTTCTTGATTATAAACTGGTCCATTCTCTAAAAATAAATTTGTTCTGTTATGGTTAGAAAATAACCATTGGCAGTTAAAAAATTTAAGGTAATGGGAATTCAAGAGTTCTCCAACCATACTAACAAAGGATACTAATATCATTTTCCTTTTGGGATTAAAAAAAAAAAGGCATAATATAGTGAACCAACCAACTTCAGCATATGCATACACTTCAAATTTCTGAGAATGTCTTTGGGGTCAAACTTAGTGCCTTTAACATTTCAACTGATTTCTCTAGAAAAACATAGTTTAGAAGAATTTGCAATTAATGAGAAATAAAAACGGTTTCATTTTACAATTAAAAATACTCCTCTTGCCAGGAGGTGGTGGTGCACCCTTTAATCCCAGCACTTGGGAGGCAGAGGCAGGTGTATCTCTGTGAGTTCAAGACCAGCCTGGTCTATAAGAGCTAGTTCCAGGATAGCCTCTCCAAAGCCACAGAGAAAACCTGTCTTGAAAAAAACAAAAACAACAACAAAAAACAACTACTCCTCTCTTCCTTCATTTATTCAAAGGTAACTGCAAGCCTGGGAACATTCTTGCACTGGCAAATCCCCTGTAATTTCAAACCCAGTACCTGTACACCTTGCTTTAGCTTTCTGTAGCAGCATCATTTGCTTCTTGGCAAACTTGATGAGATCTTCTCTAGGCAACGTCTCCAGCTGAAAGATGTTATATGATTGACTATAACCCATGCTTCCAGTATGCCCCCCAAAAGAAACACAATGTCTGCCTAAAAACAAAAACACCCTCAACATTCAAGTCAATCAATCATCCTTTTAAAATTCACAAATATAACTTCAACAACTTTAAGTAATCAGATGAATCAAAAAGCAAAGAAAAAAAGTCCCAGCATAAAACTCTTACAGATACCACTAAGTTCTCTATGTGTAGAAGTGGGGGTTGGACCTAAAGATTTTTAGAGCTGTAAAATTCATTCTGTTGCGAGCTGAAAAGCCATCCATGTGCATGTGAAAAAAATAAACATAACCACAGTCACAAATGAATAGACTAACATTTAGGCCTTAACTAAAATAAGAGGCTTTAGTAACTGAAAATTACTTAATCCTTGCGCTCTCAGTTTCCTCCTCTGCAGAACGAGAATAACGAAGTACTTATTCCACGATGTTTAAATGACAGAATCGAGAGCTTAGGCAAATGTCTGGAACTCAGCATGCAAACGATACATTCTGGCAACAAACCACTACCTTTCAGAATCTGTGAACATTAAACATTGCACACAGAGCTGTAGGAACGACCTTATTCAACCGTCGTTTGCCTAGGGAGCTGGAGCCAACAGGATACAGCTCCCCGATTCTTATCCCCCCTTCACTGCGTCACTGTGCAAACTTCCATAAAATAGACTAGTTAAATGCCTGAAACATTGCAGGATCTCTCGGCATAGCGCTAACAAGGAGCAGGAAGTAAACAAACTGCTTGGACATCAGGAAATTAAAAAAAAAAAAAAGGACAGGAAATCAATGGGCGATTATAAACGAAAACGGAAATCCCTGAGGAAAGAGGGCTTCTTTTAAAGAAGAAACCCTTCTCCCCGTGCCCAAGTTTTCCAATTCTTTACCCTTCGGCGCTCCAGGGAACCTGGCTGCGGAGTGCTCTCCTCACCTTGGATTTCCCGGTCCCGGAGGGTGCCGCAGCCACCCCATCTTGAACAGGATCCTGCAAAACAAAATCGTCACAAGAGTTCATCCCATATCCGGCAGCAATGCGCGGCCAAAAACCCTTGAGGTTAGGAAGAGCCTCCTCAGGAGCAAGAACCAGGGGGGGCATCGCCGGCACCGGGCTCCAGCGCCTGCCGAGCCGCGGAGGAGGGGACAGCGTGCTGGCCGTGTCCTCCCCCTCCTCGAGTGGCGCAGAGGACCAGCGGGGCGGCGCGACCCCACCATTACCTCCATCACCGCCCCAGCGACCAGCGGACACCGCCACCGCTTCAGGAGCCCCGGCTGGGCCTCCCCGACGCCGCCGCCGAGAGCGGGTCAAAGGTCGTGCTACGCCTCCCCCGCGTCTCCAAGGCTACGCCGAGCTGCACTTCCGCTTCCTCCTCAGGAAGGACGTTCCCTGAGCGCAAGTCCTCTGGCCCCGCCCGTAGCGCGACGAACCTCGGAGCAGTTCCCTGGGCGGAGTAAAGGGATTAAGCTCACATAGTATGTTTCCTAATTTTTAAATTTTTTTGTTTTTCGAGACAGGGTTTCTCTGTGTAACAGTCCTGACCGTCTTGGAACTGGAATTGTAGATCAGGCTGGCCTCAAACTCTCAGAGATCCATCTGTTTCTGCCTCCTGAGGGCTGGGACTAACTCCCGGCTTTGCTTCCTAAATGTTGAAGATGTGGTTTATAAATTTAAATACCCCCAATTAGCGGCCATATGTGAAACACATAGTTAATAGGTGATGTAATTCTGTCAGATGTTCAGAATTTGTTGTGCCGTGAGTAGTAATTGGGAATAAATAACTGGATCCACTGATTGATCAGAATTGCAAAATGCTGGCATGCTGACTCTGTCCTTCTAACAATTAATTTATTGGCTGAGACAATTCTTGTGCTTGTTAATACTGTTGATTTTAAAGGATCTGGAGTCATCTAGGAGACCAGCCTCTAGGCGTGTCTGTGAGAGATTTATCTAGAGTAACTGAGATGGGGAGATCCACGGTAAATGTCTGTGGCAGCATTCTAAGGATAGGAGTCTAAGGCTGTATAAAAAAGAGAGAAAAAATTGAGCACCAGCATTCATCTGAAAGAATTCATCAAGGTCATAGTGTGGGATGTTAAGAGTGAGGAGTGTCTACAGGTTCCCTCTCTTTCGGACCCTAATGAGAGAGGGCAGGGGACAGGGATTTAAGTGTTCTGTCAGAGGGTCCAACAGGCCTTCCCTTTCCTCGTGGTTGTTTACAACAGGATGAAGGCAGGATAAGGGAAAAATCTCAGAGGACTTTGGAGAGGAAGGCAAAGAAGACATGGAAGATATTCCAATATAGATTTTTATTGTTGTTGTCTCATAGAGTGGTAACAGGGCACCCCTAGACTGACCTGGGCATTAAAAAGAAAGTCGCTAAAATTTTTCTATAGTTAAGCCTGGCCTAAACATAAAGTAGAGAGGATGGAACAAATAGCCTCTAGTGGGGAGTGTCAATCATAGTGTTATATTTTTGTAGGTGAAAAGGCATGCATTCATCCAGTTCTTCAGGATGTCTGCTTCCAGGTGTAGTCATACACCGATTACAGGTACAGACCTTCAAGCAGTTTGGCCCTCATCCCAAGTATAGCCAGAGAGTATCTCAAGTTACACTTTGGTAAAGGGAGATATTTTTGTCGGCTTCATCCTCTTTGTTCATGGGTTCTGGGATCCATGTGGCATGATCTTACAAAATATAAAGATGTCAGAGGTTCACCATTCAAGATAAATTTCCTCGATGATAATACTGGTGTGGGGGGGGGGTCATTACCTCCCCTCAGTCCTCATTCTCAAGAACAGCACAGCAAGCAACTGGATTCCTTCTCTCTTACTTCTCTGATGCTTCAGTTTTAGAGTGGAACGAATGCCTTTTGTTAGTAAACTGTCATGTGCTATTTAAATTCAATGGAGTTGGCTCCAGAGGTGAGATTTTTCCCATAGACCCAAGCATTTTTGTCTCAAAGTGTCCCCCCAAGATCCCAGTGTTGCATCACACTGGTCTCCCTACTTTGTAGCAGGGAGTAAAGCTAGAGGTATTGACATCTCCCAATCAACTTCTTGGAGAAGGAGATTATGCTACTATAGAAATGCAATCTCTATACGATGACCAGGCCTTGGCTTTGTGCCTCACAGCAGCTGTGAATGCTTGGGTCTTCTCCAAGAAGTTGAAGAAATGGGGAAGAGGAAGCACATTGTTCACTATTGAGTTTTTTGTAAAGGCCTTTGTCCCTGGTCTATATGTCTGCTATGTTTCAACATGCTCGCGCGTGTGCGCATGCGCGCGTGTGTGTGTGTGTGTGTGTGTGTGTGTGTGTGTGTGTGTGTGTATGTGCGAGTGTGTGCGCAGGTGGGTATATGTTCACATGTTAGGGTTTTTAATCCTAAACTGAACAATTTCAACTAAAAATGTGAAGGCACTTCTATGTTTTTCTGAAGAATAAAAAAGATTATACACTTCAGGAATTTTTTGAGACAAGGTTCATCTGTTATGTAGTTCTGATTGTCTTAGAACTCAGAAATGCATCTGCCTCTGTGGAATCAAAGGTATGCATGACCACACTCAGTCTAGAATTTTTCTCCTATCATTAGCCTAGAGTAAAACAACCACAAGGATTTTTACATCAGATTTAAGAAACAGGAGATTATTCTTAATTACAAATAGAAGTCTTAACTTGCAAGAACTTAACACAGGACATAAAAGAAATTTATTTTTACCTTTCTTAACTACTGGTTATTTTTGTTTTCTATTGATACAGCAAGTAATACTAATTTTATTATGTATATGGCCTTTACTAAAATAGTACCAAAGTCAAGATGCATTAGTCTGACACACACCAAATACATATGTATATTTTTTCAGTTTTGGCCTCCCATTAACTTGCAAGGTATATTGTTCCTGTTTTAGTCTCATAACTACACCATTCCATTCCTTTCTACCACAGTATCCTGCAAGCCCTCTACTTTTGGGATACCCTAGAATACAGATCCAGTTATATGCCCTTGCTGTATTCCAGTAAGGGAAAAAAACCAGCAAAATTCCAAAACTGAAATTGCCCCGTGAACATTATGATTCTACATTTCACATATAAAATTGGTCTTTTATCCCATTAATAGCTCTGTTATTAAGTGTTATGATCTAAGCATTATGGCACTACTTGGGTGGTGGATATTTCAACACAGGTATTATCCTCCAAAGAAAAAAAGCTGTCATGATCAGATCCTCTGTGCCTGCTTCAAGAGACCAACAGGAGAGGCCTGTGGACTGTTGTGAATTCCTCAGAAAAGGGGTTGGAGAAGGTCATTAGACTCTCATCTGAGGTTCAAGCTGCTCCTCAAGCCACCTGTTTGCAATTCTGCCTTGATTGCCCTGGGTGCCAGTGCTCTCCAGGATACAGTGGAATGTTTCAGAAAGGGATTGCAGATGTCACATTGCACAGTGCTTGCCTCCTGCTGCCTCACCCCAAACTAACCCAAATCTAAGGTTCCCTTCCAAGGAGACTCTCTAGGGTCACTGGGGAAGCCCTTGAGTGCTTTCTCCTTCCAAAGCCAGAGATTCAGCTCTGAGCTTCAGTAGAAGCTTTATCTGTAGAGAACTGAAGGCTCCCCTTCCATACACTGCTCTCCTTAAGATCCATACTCAGTAAGATGAGAAATAAAAGATGCTGAGAATTTAGACAGGAGATGGAGAGGAGAGATGAGTGCCCTTAGGTGAACAAGCACCTGGGGGAAGAGTCTCAGACTCTTAAAGGTTTGGGGAGTCAAACAAAGAAAAGTCACATATGTAATGATGAAAATACCCCCAGAGCCTCAGCAGGGCTCACTCCAGCCATGAGGATGTTAGTGAAGGTGTGAGGAGCTGTTGTCAGGTCTGGGCTATAGACACCTGAGCCCAGGTGAGTCCTCAGAGAGCAAAAGCAAACACTCCCAGGAAGAGTATGATGGCCCAAACCAGGAATCAGGAGGCTGAGGACAGAGTAGTGACAAGAAGTTAGCCTGGGCTATGTAGAGACATGAGGAGGAAAATTAACACACACACACACACACACACACACACACACACACACACTGGCACACAGTCAAGGGGGAGAACATGATGTAGTTCACGGCTATAACTTCAATCAGACAACAAAAGTCAAATTCCTATGTCTGGAGCCACCTGTGACAATTCACATGCCATTTTAAAGGTGGCTCTGATATTTCCGGGTACAATGTCTGTTAGAAGACCATGGGAAAGTCAGCAAGGGGCAGGCAACAGGACACTCTAAAGTCTATCTGGTGATCTCTGTCTTTTCAGATGTTGAACCCTTAATCCAGTAAAGGGGATGCCAACTTTATTTCTAAGTAGGGTCTTATAGAAACCAGCAAGTTTGAGTTTGAGAACAGCCTGGTCTACAAGAGCTAGTACCAGGACAGCCTCCACAGCCACAGAGCAACCCTGTCTCGAACCCCCCCCCCCAAAAAAAAGGGAAACCAGCAAGTTGAGGCCATACTGAAGTTTTGGAGCAAGGCTTGTGTATAAACTGGTATGAAAAGCATCTTTATAAACATAGAGGAGCGGGGGAGAGGAAGACGAAAGGAGAGAGGAGGTGGATGAGAGAAGGAAACAGAAAAGGAAGGAATAAATGGACTAGGGAATAAGTCTTCTGCACATGAAGCAGGGATGAGGCAAGGGATCTAGACGGCAAGGTATGAAAGATTGCCTGCAAGTTCCATCAACTAAGATGTTATGATAATGCAGCATTGGTTGGGACCCCAGGTGACGGGCCCATGGTCCTACACTGGCACCAGAACCATTGTGGTCCTGGGGCAGGTGATTGGACCGCAGGCAGATGGTGAGACAGAGACCTGGAAATGTGCCTCATATTGAAAGTTTTATTGAGGGGGTGGTAAGAAAATAGACACAGGGACAAAGAGAGGACATAAGAGAAGAGTGAGACAGGAAAAGTCCTGCCTGCCCCAAGGGAACAGCAGGAAAGAGAGAGAGAAAGGATGTAAGCGGGTGGGGGGGTCCTTTCTTTTAAAGGGGTCCTTTGCACCTGCTTGCAAACTAATAATCAAGGAACCCTGGGATGATCAGGGTACTGCCTGAGTGCATTCAGCAGAATGCCTGAATCCTTACAACCTGGAGCCAGTTGTATCCTTGGGACTTCAGACAGTCTAGCCTCCAACAAATAAGTGAGACACCACTTCTGTGAACAAAGTTCCAAGCCCAGGAGATAAAGTTAACCACCCCAGCCAAATATACAGAGAAACCACTCCTGTGTCTGCCTGCCACTTACCCCACTGATCTCCCATAATTGGAGTCCTAATGTTCTCTCAACCATCCCGAGATCCAGATGACTAGAGGCAGTACCTGCCTTCTACATTTCATCTCAGCCGACCCTTTGTACTTGTGTTATGCTCATGAAAGGAACTGACTGATGAGCCTCTGCCTAGCTGGTCTCAAATTCAGGCTTGAGACTTACCATCTGTGGATGTCAACCCTCCCATCATTTTACAGTGAAGGGGATGTCTCACTGGTCAGCTGTTTTCTTCTCCCTCTCTTCTTCACATGCTTCAGGTGACCCAGGGGACAGACTCCTCAAGGCTATTCACAGCTGCACAGGATACAGCTTGGCTTCAGAGCCCTCAAGTCTGACCTGAGAAGACAGAAGATAATTGCACAGTTCACACACAGGTGGTGTGGAGATGCCCAGGTTATCTGCCTGGTCACTGTAGAGCCTTGCTGTTGCTGGAGATGACATGCAGGGCCAGAGCATGGTCACCAGACTAAGAAATCTGCCCTCCCTGATATCAACCCTGGACACCCACAGCTGACAGGAAGGACCCAGGCTCTGTCCCTGCCACTGCCTCTTAAAAATATTCAGAATGTGAGCTAAGCAAGTTGTGTTATCTCTGCTTGGACATTTTCATAGCAAGAAAACTCCACTACCCAATACATAACTTATGATCTCTTTGGCTCCAACAGACTCCCCTTCTAAGTTCCTACTCTTTAGCAAAAAGCAACTGTTTTCTTCCATCTGCTTAGTTTCCTTTCCATAGTGCACACCTTCAGCGGTTTTGTTAAAGCATTGGAAAAAGCCATCATTTCTTTCTTTGACTTTATTGAGCAATGTGCCCTAGCAACTACAGCCATTTATGCTACCTGCACTTTAATTTTCTAAATAAAATCTAAAACAAAGTAGATCGGAGCTTTTAAAAGATCTGAATTTACATCACTTACAGGCACCCCTATTAAGTGATGATACATAATCTGTGAGGTTAAGATATCTTTTATTAGATAAATGCCAGCCAAACACAAGCCAGAGCATGCCAGAGGCAGCAAGGCAAGGGAGGCTATAGAGAGAGCCCCCATGTGCCTTGTCTGTCCCTTTAAGCCCTATCCCTGGTCACCCTGACATCACCTTGACCAACTGGTGGGTGTGGTTGGGCACAACTTTAGCCAGCTTCTAGCAGGTGTGGCCTACAGTGTCCCCTACAATTCCCCTTCTAGTCTAAAAGAGGATTAAAGCTTGACAGTATCCCAAATTAACAATCATAAAGGTGAAATACAAGAAGATACAATAATCTGCTATGACACATCCTAACTATGTCTATATCAGCTAAACACTAAAGTCATCTGAAAAGAGGTGTTCACGCGTGAACACCTTCTTCCAATCCCAACCATAAACAATAGTAAGCTATCCCTAACTAGGCATAAACTACCCTAATTGACAATAATGGGGGAAGGGAGCGTAGCATTCTCCAAGTTACTTCCTGCTGAAATGGGATGGTGATAGCCTCGTGGGGTTCTGTGGGAAGAAAATATTAGTATAATGAAAGTCTTGAAAATTATCCAGTCCATGTAAGATGGATTTGCTTGATTGAAGAGCTAGGTTGAAATCCTCAACTTGATGGAAGTCAGCACCTGAAGCTCTGGCGGGAGTGTCAGTTGAAAAGGAGTAAGTTGGATCTAGTGCAGTCTAGGAGGTATGGCCCAATTTCTATCCCAAGTTTCCCGGGATTGCTGTCAGGCGGGTCTTCATTGGCTGTGTGGGACTCAAACAAGCGTTAGCAGAGAAATGCTTGCTTGTACATGTATCCTTACTAGGAAAGGCAACCACGGGAAAATAACAATTATGATACGGTATACACCTTGAAGGGAAGAGCCAAGAAAAGACAAAGACGGTCCCCAAATTCTTCTCTCATTCTGTATTACATCAATTGGCTTCTTGATACAATACAGAAACTCTAAAGTTTAGTTAAACAATGTGCTTGGATTTTAGAGGAGGAAAGCCAAATCCACCTCTAAATCCAGCATTGGTTTAATTGAATAGGGACTAGGAAGTAAAGAGAAATAGAGTTCTTTAAGAGACAGCTGTAGTTTACCATATGGTACGTTCCTTTTGTTTGATGGTTATAGCTACCTTCTCAAGCATCTACCCACGCAGTGTTCTTTGACTTCTGGAGATGAGTTTTCCTGTAAAGATAAAAAGCAAAACACTTCCCTTTCCTTTGGGAAGTTTCTATTTAGTTTACGAGATATACCTTAGTAGAATACCTGTCATTTCTCCTTGTCGAGAGGTTTGTCTTTTTCAACTCAAATCTTGCTCAACTTGGATGGTATCCAAAATTTTTCTTCTGTGGAAACAAATGCAAAACCCCTACCTCAACATAACACATGTCCTGGTTTCCATACAGAGGTAATGCCTCTTTGAAGTATACCGGCTGATTCAGTTCAGCAGTTTTGTTTTTTTTTCCATAGTCCAGGGTCTTTCTGCAGCTGTTTGTCCTTTGTCATTGGCATTAAGAAAGTTTAGTATTAATAAAGCATTATGCAACCTATGTTTGGGGGCTTTAGTCTTCCCAGCCTGTCTATGGCATAGGGGTTGTTCCCCCAGCCTGTTTATGGAGCATTTCTTTTGGTGTTCATATTATTGTGTGGTATACCGGTTACGTGCTTTATGTTATAATATTTGAAAACTTTTCTAATTTTGTAGAGACATATGCTGGAGCATTGTCAGCTTTTATTTTTGAGGGTATACCCATAATGGCTATCACCTCCAACAGGTGTGTAATAACAGAATCAGCCTTTTCAGAGCTAGGAGCTGTAGCCCATTGAAACCCTGAAAATGTATCTATAGTATGATTCACATATTTTAAATTTCCAAATTCTGTAAAGTGAAAGACATCCATCTGCCAAACCTCATTCCTCTGAATGCCATTGGATTACAGCCTGCTGGCAATGGAGTTTGGTTATAAAAGGAACAAGTAGGACAGTTTCTCACTATCTCTTCGGCTTGTTGCCAAGTGATGGAGAAGTCCTTTTTTTATTATTATTAATTCAAGTTAGGGAACAGGCTTGTTTCACATATAATTCCCCTCTCCCTCTCCCTCTCCCTCCCTTTACCCCCATTTCTTCTCCCCCACCTCCAACCTACCCTCCACCCCATCCACCCACCACTCCCCAGGCAGGGTAGGGCCCCCAACAGGGGCTCCGGCCTGGGTCCCTCCCCATGTGTTCAGAGACAGAGTGCATCCCTTCAAGTGGGATGGGCTCTCGAAGTCCCCCACATACACCAGGGCAAAAAGCCAGTCCACCTCCGGAGGCTCCCACGAGTGCAGGGGCATCCCCGATGGTTGGATTAGTCCTGTACTGGCCTCCCAAAGAGCATCTGGAGTCGACATGCTTTCCCTTTTTCAGGCCAACTGTTTCTGTGGGTTTCTCCAACCTGGTACAGACCCCTTCGTTCTTCATTCCTCCCTCTCTTCAACT